ACCATATGCAGCCTTTTTGTGACTGATCCCTTTCCCTTGGCATAGGCTTGTGAAGGTTCATCCATGTGGTAGCACATATCAAGGTTTCATTCCTTTTTATTGCCCCAAAATGGTCTATTGTGTTTTAGGCTATGTTTCTATTTCCTTGAAGGTGCCTTTTGAAACATAAAAGTTTCTAATTTTGATGAAGTCCAATTTATCTGGGTTTTTTTCCCCCTTTTTCACTTTTGCTTTTGGCATTATATTTAAGAAACCATTGCCAAACCAAGGTTGTGAAGATTTTTCTTGTGTATTTTCTTCCAAGAGTTTTATAGTTTTAGCTTTTACAGTTAGTTCAATGATCTATTTTAAGTTAATATGTTACATGGCGTGAGGTAGCGGTCCAACTCTATCCTTTTGCATGTGGAGATCCAATCGTCTCAGCACCATTTGTTGAAGACCGTTCTTTCCCCATTAAATGGTCTTAATCCCCTTGTCAAAAAACAATTCACTATAAATGTGCAGGTTTATTTCCAAACTCTTAGTGGTGTTCCATTTATCTGTATGTCTAGTGTTATCCCCAAATCACACTGTACCTTTGTAGTAAGTTTTAAAATCTGGAAATGTGAGTCCTCCAATTTTGTTCTTTTCTCAAGATTGTTTGGCCTATTCTGGGTTCTTTGCATTTCCATATGAAGTCTAGGATCAGCTTGTCAATTTCTGCAAGGAAAAAAAATCTAGATTTTGATAAAGATTACATTGAGTCTGTAGATCAGTTAGTTTGGGGAATATTACTATCTTAATAACATTAACTCCTCTCATCCATGAACATGAGATGTCTTTTAACTTAAGTTTGTTCCCAAGTCTTTTATTCTTTTTGGTGTTATTATAGATGGAATTCTTTTCTTAATTTAATTTTCAGATTGTTCATTGCTCATGTAGAGAAAAACAATTGAGTTCTGTATACATTTGCTTGTATTCTGAAACCTTGCTGAATTCCTTTATTAGTCCTAATCACGTTTTAATGGGTTCCTTAGGATTTTCCACATACAAGATCATGCAAATAGAGATAGTTAGGTACACCCAGTACAAGGGTGACCAGAAATGGTGACAGCAGACATTTTTGTCTTGTTCCTGAGCTCAGAGGGAAAACACTCAGTTTCTCACCATGATCATTACAGTGGCATTTTTGTAGATGCCCTTTATCAGGTTGAGGAAGTTCTGCTCTGTTCCAAGTTTGCTGAGTGTTTTTTATTTATCATGAAAGAGTGCTGGATTTTGTCAAATGCTTTTTCTGCGTCTGTTGAGATGATCATGCGGTTTTTGTCCTTTATTGTACTAACATGATTTTCTTTTATATTGAACAAACAAAAATTGCATTCTTGAGATAAATTCTACTTGCTCATGGAGTATAATTCTTTTTATATGTTGCTGGATTTAGTTTAATAGTATTTTGTTTAGGATTTTTTGCATCTGTGTTCAAAAAGGATATTGATCTCTAGTTTTCTCTTCTCGTGATGTCTTCGTCTGGTTTTGGTATCAGGGTAATATGTTTTATATAATGTTAGAAGGGACTCATGGAATGTTCCATCTCTTCTATTTTTAAGAATAGTTTGTGAAAGATTGGTGTTAATTCTTCTTTAAATATTTGGTAGAATTCACCAGTGAAGTCATATGGTCCTGGGTTTTTCTTTGTGGAAAGTTGTTTATTAATTATTATCATTATCATTGATGCAGGTTCTTTACTCATTAGGTTCATTCTGATTTTTTCTGTTTCTTCTGAGGTCAGTTTGGATAGTTTATGTCTTTCTAAGAATTTGCCCATTTTGTCTAGGATGTCTAACCTGTTGGCATACAATTGTTCGTAATACTGTTTTATCATCTTTTCTAGGTGGCCTGATATGTCCCCTCTTTCATCCATGATTTTAGTAATTTGAGTCTTCTCTCTAATATTGGTCTGTCAGTCTAGTTAAAGGTTTGTCAACTTTGTTGATATTTCAAACAAACTTGTGTTTTTGTTAATTCTATTAATTTTCTATTCTCTATTTCATTTACTCTGGCCCTAGTCTTTATTATTTTACTTATTCTGCCAGCTTCTGGTTTAGTTTACTCTTATCTTTCAGTTTCAAAGGGGAAGATGAGGTTAATCATTTGAAATCTTTCTCTTTTTTTAATTTTTAAAAATTGATTTTAGAGAGAGAGAGGAAGGGAAAGAAAGAGGGAGGGAGAGAAAGAGAAGGAAACATCGATTTATTGTTCCACTCATCCATGCATTCATTGGTTAATTCCTGCATGTACCTTGACCAGGATTGAAACTGCAATCTTAGGTTGTAGCAGGAAGACGTTCTAACCAATAGAGCTATCTATCTAGCCAGGGAAACATTTTTCTCTCTTTTTAAAACACAGGTTATTACAGCTCTAAATTTTCCTCCACTGAGTTGCATCCTATACATTTTGGTATGTTGGGTTTCATTTTCTTTCATCTGCAAGCATTTTCTAATTTCCCTCCTGACTTCTTTTGAGATAGCAGAGTTTTACACATGTTAGTTAAGAAACACATAAAAGTACTACTGTAAATATGACACTACGTTGGGACAAATTTAGATTTTCAAAACAAAAGTTTTAACAGAATGGACTATACAAGGTGGCTCCAAGGCACCTCCCATCACACCCTAAAACTTTATTTCACATCAAGTCCTTTAGCATGTTCTCCAAAATGTGCCTCCAACCACCCGCTCATCTCTGCCTCCACTACCCGTCCCGCAGTCCAAGCCACCACACTTCTTAGTCCAGGGAAACTGCAACAGACACTCAAATTCTCTGTCTTTCTTGTTCGCTACAATTTGTTCTCCACACACAAGCTTTAAAAATCACAAATCACAGATCGGGTTACATCTTCTCCCTGCTGAAAACCCTCCAATGGCTTCCTAATCTTCTGAGGACCCTTCCTGATGGCCTATGAGATCTCAAGCAAATGAACCCCTCCGCTCTGACTCACCACCTGCCCTCCCCATTCGCTCTGCTCCAGCCACACCCCAGGACTTGCTTTCTGCTGTTCAACACGAGTATCCACCCCAGGGATTTTGAATTCCTAAATCTACTTCCCTCTTTCCTCATCATTCCAACCTTGGCACAAATGTCCTACTCGTAGCTGAACCTGCCATGTGGGGCTGAGGGGAGGGAAGAGGGTTGGCAAACATTTCCTGTGACAGGCAAGATAGTAAATATTTTTGTCTCTCCTTATGCCTTTGTGCAATTGTCCCACTTTCTACTATCTTGTAGTGTGAAAGCCACCTTCAACCTCCCTTAAAGGGAGAGCATGTGTTCTAACAAAACTTAACAAACACAGGAAGACGGAATATGGCCCACTAGCCACAGTTTGCTAACTCCTGAAGGAGTTGAAAATACTGGATTTAATCAAATAAAGAGTTTCATGTTTTTTTCACATTTCACAAAAGACAATTCTTTTTTTTTAAATCCTCATCAGAGGACATAGTTTACTTTTTAGAGAGAGAGGAAGGAAGATAGAGAAAGAGAGAGGTGAGGTAGAGAAACATCTATTTGGTTGCCTCCTGTAGTGTGGACATGGAACCCACAATGGAGGTATGTGCTGGAATTGAATGTACAACCTTTTGGTGTCCGGGACGACGCTCTAACCAAATGAGCTACACCGGCCAAGAGAGATTATTCTTTTGATTTTTAAAACCCTTTAGATTAAAAATATTTTAAAAATTTCAGCTTGTGGGCTTTGAAAAACAGTTAGGAGGTGCCCAAGAGTCAGTCTGAAGACACTGGACCCAGACTATGCCTGGATCTCCCTTTTCAATGTGAGAAATGTCCAAACCTGTAGAGAATTTTTATGAGTTTATCTGACCCAAACTGACAGCAATTACCAGGAAGAAAAACCCTAATGAGTTGAGAAAATGCTCCATAAAATGGCAGTTTTGCACCACATTTTATACATTACAGTCAAAAGGGGAGGCATAAGTGGGTTACATGAAATCCATTGGCAATAGATCCATTGCGAGTCAGGAGAAAGCAAAGTGGGAAACCTCTGTGATTGGATAAAAAGTAAAAAGATGGACACATACCTGTATTGTGCTGTGTATATTGCACAGTTTTTTGCCCAAATTTTTGAGGGAAAAATAAGGATATGCGTTATACATGGGTGTAATGATTACATACCATGGGCATCAAACACAGGTGTGCATTATACATGGCAAAACACGTTACTTCTTTTACAACCGTGGGTACAGGATAGTTAAGTCAATGATTAACATGATAACAATAAAAGTGTGGATTTGTGGTCTCTGCTCCGGTGTGGTTGTGCCCAGATGGGTCCTGAAAAATGGCAGTTACATTGACATTCCAAGAATAATAGCGTAGATGAAAAAAAGACAATAGACAGGCTCAATTTATGCAAAGATGGACTTGTCAGGGAAGATTCTAGCCTAGGGCACCACCACTTGCCTTGAACCACTTTTAGTTAAAAAGTTTTCATTTCAGACCATCCTATATAGGCCTCCCTGGGGCTTGTCAGGTTTAGCATGTGGCGCCTTCTCGTCCACAACCTTTAGCATCTATGAAATAAAGGCAGGTGTGTTCCCCAAACCCGGCTTTCCGGGATCCCCGCCACTAGCCACAAGTCGACAGGAGCCTCCCGCTCTGCAACGCTCAACCCTAGTATCTATGGGCGCCTCCAGCTAAGCTCCACCCTCCTTCCTGGCGACTGGTCAGCCGTCCTCTTCCTCCCCTGTAACTCCCACTCTGACAAGCACCACGATCAACCAATGGGACGCCGCAGAACCTTGCGCCACGCCCCCCGCGCCCGTTGGAGGCGGGCATGGGCGGGCCGTTGAAGGGGTGGGGCATGGAACCTGGTAACCGTTGCCGGTAACAACGCCCCACCCCGTCGGGGCGGGCGGGCGGCGCGAGGCGGGCAGCCGGAGCTAGGAGGAGCAGCAGCCGCGGCCGCCACCGCTGCCGCCATAGAGACTGTAGCCGTGGAGACTGTTACTTACCAACGGGGACCAACACGCAGCAGCCGCTGCTGCCGCCGCCGCCGCCGCCGCTGCTGCAGCCGCCGCTGCCGGGGGAGCCGCTGCCTGAACTCCCGGCCCGAACTCCAGGTGACCGATGCGACCGCCCGGGCCCCGGCGGGGAGTGCTGGCTGGGGGTGGCGGGGCTCCGGACAGGGGGTCGGGGGACTAGCAGCGCAGCCCTCGTCGTTCATCCTAAACGTCCGGACGGCGCGCCCGCGGGGCCCGCCTTCGCACCCCAAGTCCCGCAGGAGCTGCTGAGTTTAGAATCTCCCTGAAACTCCTCCTTCCTTTTAACCAAACTCGGGGGGAAGTGGGGATCCGTCCCTCACTTTTTATAAAACTTCCGGGATAGGACGCCGGCGGACCCCTCTCAGTCTTACCCCCAAAATCCCGTAATTGGAGGCGCCCCGATGACACCGCTCAAACTTCTTTTAAACTTCCCGAACTGGAAACGCCTGTGGACCCCCTTTACTCCCCAAACCTGTGAAATTGGGGCTCCCCGGGACCCTTGTCTCTCTTAACCTCAAACTTCGAGTTAGGAGGGACTCGAAGACTCTTCTCACCTTTACCCCAAATTCCTTCCTGGGTTGGGGGCCCTGGGACCCTCTTCTTGTTTTGACCTCCCATCCCCCCGCCCCGAACATACTGAATTTGAGGGCGCCCCTTGAGCCCGTTTTTCACTTTTTAACCAAAGGTCGATGCGCTTGTCTTGGGGGGGAACCCCTCCCCCTTCTCACTTTTTCACAAGCCCCGGAGACTCCGGCTACTTGGGGACCCGTTTCTTACCTTGCCCCCCAAATGCTGGAGTTTTTAGCCCCTCCGACGCTCTTTCCCACCTCCCTCCTAACCCCACATTCCTGCGCACCCCGCAGCTATCTCCCCTATTTGGACTGATCGAAGTTTCACTAGAGGGTTTTATCGTTACTATTATTCATTTATTATGTTGTTAAAGAGCCCAACTTGTGGCTCAAACTCCTCGGCGGCATTTTTCTCCTGCGGTTGTACGAGTGTGTGCGTGTGTGTTTGTGGATCCAAACCCCTTAAATATCCATCCGTCCCCAAAGTTCTTTATTCCTTTCCTTTTCGCTCTGGGAGAAGCCGCGGCGCTCCCTCCGGCTCCGTCCCGGAGGGTTTTTCTCGCCGCTGCGCGAGGCAAGTTGGGTTTCCTAGTGGCTCTATCCAGGGCCCGCGGGGCGAGCTGCCCCTGCCATTAGGGCGGCGACGGGGGTGGTTCATCGTCCTAATTTTAACCTCCTGGTTGCCCCGCAGGAATGAGGGACAAGGGCAAGATGCTGCGTAGGAGTCCAGGGCTGCGCTTCCCCATAGACCTTATTTCTGCTTCTGCGTGTGATGCCTCCTTCCAATTATTTCCTTGTTTTGTGAAATCAACAGTCAGTGCAGACTTTCAAAACCGCGCCCCCCCCATCCCAATAAGCTTTATCTTTTCAAATACAAAATATCAAAGGTATACAAGACTCTCAGTTCTGACTTCCCCAACGAAAAAGTAATAATGATAATAATGACACAAAATATCTACAACTGTTTTTTATGATTGCACGTTGTTAATATGTTTTCATCTTTTGCTTGATGCCCTGAAATATTTTTTATTCGTTTATATAAAGACCCTGGCCTTCTGTCCTAGGAAGTAAGTAGGGGAATTGGTTACCCACTCAAGTTTAAAGACTTGAACTGACTAAAATAACCATAGAAATGGCTACTCACCTGCTCTGACCAGAGAAATTAGTGTTTGGTAAGCCCTCCCCAGAAAAAGAATTTACTTTTCTTAATGACCAGTGCTCTTTCTTCTACAGGCTTGATGAAGTATTAGAGGGGATTTGGTAGTTTTTTTATTAAAAAGACTTCCCATAATATATGATGGAAATGATAACCGGCTTTGTGATCCTCTGATATTCCAACTGATTTGGGTGAGGAGTGAGTCCAGAAGTGGTTTGCCCCACAGTAAGAGCAATACTGAATTCATTAGCCCTTTAAGTGTATATCTCTCTTGTCCCAAATAACCGTCCAAGGTGCTCAAAAGGGGTATCAGGAGGACAGAGACAAAGTTATTAATTACCCCCAATTAGCAGAAGTCCTTTGAAATTCAGTTGATATTTGCTTTCTGGGTGAAGGGCACAGATTATCTTATACTCATCTTCTAAGCATGTTTACCACAAAAATGCTGCCAGCATGGAGCCATTCACCAGAAATGGAGATGCTCCAAAATTGTTTATTTGGCTCTTCTTATTCCTTAGGTCTAATTTGTAGTTTCAGATTCAAGTTATAAAATTAATATTAATCAATATTTAATTAATTTAACTTTAATTAATATAATTGCATCAAAACTTTGGATATTATGGGATTTTATATAGTCACATGTGGTTGTTTTACTCATAAAATTCCAAGGCCTAAAGGAGATATATCATAATATAGTTGGCTTTTTTTAAAACTAATTGCAGGTTGACCACTTATTTAAATAATATGCCTCCCCCATACACCCCTACTTATTTGTAAAATATGAATCTATTTACAAAGCAAGAAGTTCTCAGGGAAACTGTCTTGCTTGTGGGGACCCTCATGAACTCTGGGACAGGAAAGTACAAGTTCTGACCCAGTGCCTCAAATTCCCAGCCTGGACACACAACACAGATTCTTACTGCTGCGTGAAACTGTACACACGTTCTCATTAAATGGGGCACATAAGGACCATCAACAACCTCATGCCACTTCAGGTCAGATTTGCCAAATGAGTCCATGTGAAATTTACCAAAAACTTCCCATTTTTAGAGTTTTTTGGATTTCACTATTATCATAGAGGAGCATGGACTTACGTATTAAAAAGAGCATTTTGATCCCCCTTCTCGAATGTCAATGGTAATTAGCTCCACCACAGGCCATGTTCCCTTAGATACATGCCTGGCACAGAGTGTACTTAATTGTCCAATGAATGAATGAAGGCAATATGCATTGGGAATTAGAGAGGACATTGAAAACTACCTACATGCTTTTTGTAAACCCCAAGATCAGCAAAGTAATTATTAAAGGAAAAAATAAAAGTGGGAGAACTTGAGTAAAGGAAGATGCAGAATCAAGTAGTAGGGTGCGGGATATGAAGTGGATGAATCTGGGGGAATTTGTGCCCAGGAAGCTCAGACTGAGATTACCAGTGATGAGACAGGCTCCTAGGAGCTTCCTAGCAGAAAAGTCTGGCCAGCTGCCTGCTGGACACAACCAGATGGATTCTGATGGGCAATCTAAACACGAGGTGACCAAGCTGAGCCCAAGATATCCGCCCACTTCCAAATCTGCTCCTCCGGAGTTCCATCCTCCCTTTGTATCTGCTGGCTCCTCTCAGCTGCTCAGGCCAACACTTTGGTGTTGTTCTCCACTCCCCTTTCTCTCAAGGCATCAGCAAGATAACCCACTCCACCTTCGGTGGGGACCTAGAATCTGACCACAGCTGGTGACCTCCACTGCCAGCCCCCTACTCCAAGCCACCATCACCTGCTGCCCACATGATTCCAGCCTGTTCACTTGGCGGGGTGTGGGGTTGGGGATCATATTGTGTCCTGTTGTGCATTCAGTTAAAAACCCTCCCATAGTTCCCATCTCACTTAGAGCAAAAGCCAAAGTCTCCCTCCATCCCAAGCCCTACCCCGACCCTGGCTGCCCACCCCAATATCTCTTGGCCTCATCTCCAGCCACGATCCCCTATGCCAGCCTCCCAGAAGTTCCCCAAGTGCTCTGCCTGGAAAGCTTTCTGCCCACGCACTAGGGGTGGGGTAGGGGGAGGCTGCTCCCTCACTGCCTTCAGGCCTCGTCAAAAACGTCATCTTCCCATTCGAAAGCGATGCAGTCTTAGCCTCCTTCCCTGCTTTCTTGGCCTCCTTAGCATTTATCACTGTCTAAGACTCCGTATGTTATGTTTATTGATTTTATTATCATTGTCTCCTCTTGGAATATCAGCTCAGTGAGGGAAAGAAGCTCTGTTTTATTAACTTATGTATTCCTGGGGCTGAGAATAATTCTGGCACAGAGTGGGCCCTTGATAAATATTTGTTAAATGGGTAAATAAATGGTTTTCTACACAGCTATGCGAAAACACATATAGAAATTAAGAGTTACTCCTTATCTGATACGTACTGTGATCTATGGGACTCAGTACAGCCCAGATCAGATGAATAGGGCAGAGGGGGGAGTAAAGGAAAAACTGCAGGTTGGACATAGGATGTGCTGCAGAGGTGAACTTTGGGGCCTGGCAGAGAGGGGGTTATTAGTAGCTTTATGATTGCTTTGTTAGAAATAATATCAACAAACTGCTCAGCACAAAGCCTGGCACATATAGATGCTCAAAAAAGAGTAATTATTATTTTTTAAAAAATTTACCTGTACATATGTTTATTGATTTTAGAGACAGAGGGAGAGAGAGAGGAAGAGAGAAATCAATGTAAGAGAGAAACATTGATCAGTTGCCTCCCACATGTACCCCAGCCTGGGGATCGAATCTGCAACCTAAGTATGTGACCTGACCAGGGATTGAATGCACAGCCTTTTGGTGTACAGGTCAACACTCCAACCATTTATTATTATTTATTATTATTATTATTATCATTATCATTATTATTATTATTATTAGGACAAGCAGAAGTGGCCTGAGATTATTTTTTATTTTGGTTTCCTGCCCAGTATCAAGTGCTGTGTAGACATTGAGTGAACATGTCTGGCCTGACTGAGCTGGCCAGATTACGCTGCCTATTTTAGGGTGGGAAATGCCCTTCCATTAGCTTAGAAACTCGTTGGTGCTAATGTATCACTCGGCAAACGTAAGTCCTCTGCAAAACTGAAACAAGTCACTCGCAATTCTGCATCTTGGTTATTGTGTACACCCTTCTGAAATTAGGTCCTGAACATCATGCTTTTGGGTAGATTTTGTCAAGTGACCAGCGCTGCAGGCAGAACTTTGAGATTAGAACATTTAGAAACTGGTTTCCCTTCGCTGTTATCACTGGCTCTTCAGTGCCACCAGTAGAAGTCTGGAATCAGCCACTTGGAGGTGAGACCTGGCCTGGTCTTCGTGCCAGGACTTGGCTAAGCCCTCAGGGGTAGACAGCCTGGCCTTGCTCCTTGCTACACCTCACCTCTTTTTTTCCTGAAATGCATTCCTTTTTTATGATACATAGGTTTTGTATGTTTG